CCACACTAGTGCTGATCCAGGCCAGGCTGCTGGTGGCCTTCTTGGCCACCTGGGCACACACTGTCTCATCTCCAGGTGGCCACCAGCACCCCCAGGTCCTTTTCCTCTGGGCAGTTTCCAGCCACTCTTCCCCAGCCTGGAGCTCTGCAGGGGGTTGTTGTGCCTCAAGGGCAGGGCCCAGCACTTGGCCTTGTTAAACCTCATACAGTTGACCTTGGCCCATTGATCCAACCTGGCCAGATACTTCTACAGAGCCTCCCAACCCTCCAGCAGATCAACACTCCCACTCAATTTGGTGTCATCTGCAAACTTACTGTGGGTGCCCTCGATTCCCTCATCCTAATCACTGACAGAGAGGTTAAACAAGACTGGCCCCAAAACTGAGCCCTGGGGAACAGCACTTGTGACTGGGTTTAATCTTATGACCACTTGTGATTTGATGATCTTCAAGGTCTCCTCCAACTAAAACAATTCTCTGACTCTAATCTGCTGTGCTTCTTTTCCTTGTGTTTCCAGGGCATGCGTTTTACAAGTGGCTGAAAGGTAAATCCTTTTCCTAAACTTCGTTCTCTTCCTGGGATGAACTCAGAATGGCCAGGGAGGAGGTGGGAGTTGCTGGCCACACTCAGGTGGGATTAGATCTGAGAGCCAGGAGGAGAAAATTCATTGTATGCTTTCAGCATCTTAAAGAGCCTGTTTCTCTCCAGGTGTCTGTGTGGAGAAACGAGCTTTCTACAAACTCATCTCGGGTCTCCACGCAAGCATCAACATCCATCTGAGTGCCAGGTACCTTCTACAAGGTAAATCACAGAGGAAAGACCTCTAAGATCATCAAGTCCAACCATCAACCCAACACTGCCATGACCACTTTGGAGTGGACATTTTGGAGTGGCTTCCTAACCATGTATCGAGGCTGTCCCTTCCCAGCCTGCCTTTATGATGGTCAGTTGAGGAATTCTGAGTGTGAAATGCTTGGCTGTGCTTTCCCTGGAGCCCTGACCCATTTCCATCTGCCCTTTCCATTTCCTTCACCTGCCTTGTCCATAAGTAGCTATCTGAAGAATCTAAATTTCAAGCCTGGGGTTGAAAACTGAGGGTGATGTGAAAACATAGTTTGTGTCTCCTGTGGCCAAGGGCTGTGGCCAAGTGAGATGTGGCTTCTGACTGACTCCCTGAAGGACTTAATCATGGTAGAGTGGACCAAGCCTACCAGATTTATTCTGGTAAAGCTTACAAAAATCAAGTACAGCTTCAGAGATAGCTGCTGGAATTCAGGGAAGTAATCTAGATTGAACCAAGTCATTGTGTTTAAGCCTCTACAGCCTGTGTTGGCCTCACCTTGATGTGAGTTAGGATATGTGAGAGCTGGGAGATAGAATGACAAGAAGCATCAAAGGCAAGAGACGAGTTGGGGCTGCAGAGAGGTGAGAACAAGTTTGGCTACAGACAGCCAAGTAAGCCCTTGGCTGCTTTTGGTCTCTTCCATTTCTACAACAGAAGGGATTCTCTTACACTGTCCCTGCTTGGTAGAGAGTCTCCCAACCTCTGCCCTGGGCTGCTTCCCAGCACACGTGCTCGGGAGGCCTCCACTGGCTCCCTCTCGGGCACCGAGACCACAGCAGAGACCTCTTCTGAGTCCTGCACTAAGGTGGTGGCTTCTGTGGCAGGAGTGATGGAACAAAGGGCCCTTCACAGCTTAACCCACGTCCCTCAGACCACATCTCCACAGCTTGGAAACCCCTCCAGGGGTGGGGACTCCACCACTGCCCTGGGCAGCCTGGCACAGCCCTGGGCAACCCTCAAGGGCAAGAAATTGTTCCTCAGGGACAACCTCAACCTCCCCTGGGGCAACTTGAGGCCATTTCCTCTTGTCCTGTCCCTTGTCCCTTGGGAGCAGAGCCTGACCCCCTCCTGGCTCCAGGCTCCTGTCAGGAGCTGTGCAGAGCCAGAAGGTCTCCCCTGAGCCTCCTTTGCTCCAGGCTCAGCACCCCCAGCACTTCCACCCAGCCCTCTTTGCTTGCAGAGAAAAGTTGAGCTATTGGGTTGCATGGAGCTGCTCCCTGAAGAGATCAGCTCATCTGGTGAGAACCTCTTCAGCTGGTGGAACTCAGTTTAAAGTGGGGAGCCCCCATTTTTAGCTTTCACTTGTAAGCCTGGGTTATGTTTTAAGCCAACTGTCAGAGCTCTAGAGGAGTTGTGTGTTCACTGGGATTTGAGTTTGCTTAAGAGTATGTCTCCCTTGACTGTTGACCAGTTCATGGTCAGTGAAGGAGCTGTGGCTGTTGCAAAGCTCAGATCTCCATCCTTGGAGTCACTTTGCACCATGTAGCTTGGGGTGGTGGGAGGAGGTGAACCAGCACTACACCCATCCACCTCCTGTCTTTTGCTTCTCTTGCTTTCTCAGATACATGGTCAGAGAAGAAATGGGGCCCCAACGTTACCGAGTTCCAGCAGCGATTTGATGAAGTCCTCACCAGGGGGGAAGGACCCAGGAGGCTGAAGAACCTGTATTTCCTGTACCTGATGGAGCTGAGGGCCCTCTCCAAAGCACTGCCCTTCTTTGGGCGCCCAGCCTTCCAGCTCTTCACAGGCAGCCCAGCCCACGACCTGCAAGTGAAGAACCAGCTGCTGGACCTTCTCCATCTGGCCAAGTAATTGCATGTGGTACCTGGGGAGAGGGGCTCTTGGGACCCTGGTGTCTCTGGGTGTGGTTCAGGAGCCTACAAGGGCAGCTCCACACCTGCCCTGCGCAGCCTGGCACAGCCCTGGACAACCCTGGCATGGGAGGAATTTTTCCTAATACCCAAGCTAAACCTCCCCTGGGGCAACTTGAGGCCATTTCCTCTTGTCCTGTCCCTTGTCCCTTGGGAGCAGAGCCCGACCCTCCACCTGGCTCCAGGCTCCTGTCAGGAGCTGTGCAGAGCCAGAAGGTCTCCCCTGAGCCTCACTTGCTCCAGGGAGCCTCCTTTGCTCCAGGCTCAGCACCCCCAGCTCCCTCAGCTGCTCCTCCCCACACTTGGGCTCTAGACCCTTCCCCTGCAGCTTTGTTGCCCTTCTCTGGCCACGCTCCAGCCCCTCAAGGTCCTTCTGGGAGTGAGGGGCCCAAAACTGAGGCCAGGACTCAAGGGGCAGCTTCTCCAGTGCCGAGTCCAGGGTTACAATCCATGCCATTGTTCTGCGGGCCACACCAGTGCTGATCCAGCCAGGGTGCTGGTGGCCTTCTTGGCCACCTGGGCACACACTGGATCATTTTAGTGGGCTGCCCACCAACCCCCCAGGTCCTTTCCAGCCACTCTTCCCCCAGCCTGGAGCACTGCAGGGGGTTGTTGTGACCCAAGGGCAGGACCCACCACTTGGCTTTGTTGACCTTCTGTCTCTGAGGTCAAAGTTGAAAGCAGGGTAACTCTGCCCATGGTTTTAGAGTCCCAGCTGCCTTTTTGGTTTAGCAGGATGGAATGGACTAACTGCCAGTGTGGCAGCCTGCCTGTTTGGCTCATCTGTGGGATACCAGTCCCAGCTTTGGGGTTCTGAGCAGAAAAAAACCCTAAACGTGTTGGTAACAGAGGATGGGGCTATTGGACAGAGCTTGGATTAAGAGGAATGGAAGATACTGGAACCAGATGGAAAGGGGTGTCTACTAATATGATCTATGTTTGAATTTCTCTTGTCACACTCCTGTGCCTTCAGTGCTTACGTCTGTTAGGAAACAGGCAACAATTGCTTAGAAACAGCAGAGCAACAGCTGAAAATGTCTGGAGGTGAGATAGGAGCTGAAATGGAGCTTCTGAGACTGCTGAGGAACACACAGCCTGCCCTTAAAATACATCTCCAGATGTCCAATGTCCAGCACATGTTGGTTCCGCTCGCACACCTGAACCAGAGACTTCCATGGACCTGGACTTCAGCAGTGCCAATGAGCTGTGGAGAGATAAAACTCTGCTTGTGTTTTTCCAGGTCTTTCCCACTGCATTTTGATGAGAATTCATTCTTCGCAGGGAATAAAAAGGAAGCTGCTAAACTAAAGGTAACTGGCCAGCTCTGCCCCTCAGGGCACTTGGGTGTTCTCAGTCTGTGTCTGGGATAATACAAGACCTGAAAGGCACCCCAGGGAGCCCCCAGTTTGCTCCGGTACTGGGTGAGGTATTTCCCAGTCAGTTTCCATTCTGACGAGTTTGGATACTTGTTGGCAGCTACAGACTGTGAAGTGTGTGGTGAAGTGCTGCTGAGAACCCCACTTCAGGAAGTGTTTCCCTGACTGCAGCCAGCAGGGCAGGGAGGGGATCCTGCCCCTCTGCCAGCTCTGGGGAGCGCCCCCTGCAGTGCTGGGGCAGCTCTGGAGTCCTCAGCACAGCAGAGCCAGGGACCTGCTGGAGCGGGGCCAGAGGAGCCCCAGCAATGCCCCGAGGGGGGAACCCCTCTGCTGGGAGCCCAGCAGGAGAGAGTTGGGCTGGGGCAGCCTGAGAGGAGAAGGCTCCAGCTGGGGAGACCTGCTGGGGGCTGCCAGGGCTTCAAGGGGCCTGGAAGAAAGCTGGAGACAGACTTTTTGGCAGGGCGTGTTGGGACAGGACAAGGGGTGATGGTCTGAAACTACAAGAGGGTCATCCAGACTAGAGAGAAGGGAGAAAATTTTGCTGCTGAGGGTGGTGAGCCCCTGGCCCAGGCTGCCCAGAGAGGTGGTCACTGCCCCATCCCTGGAACCATCCCAGGTGAGGTTGGCCGGGGCTCTGAGCAACCTGCTCTAGCTGCAGATGTCCCTGCTCAGGGCAGGGGGTTGGACTGGGTGACCCTGAAAGGTCCCTTCCCACCCAACCCAGTCTGTGATCCTGTGAACCCAGCCCTGCTGACTTTTGCCTGAAGTCCAGGAGGAGCACAGTGCTGGATTTACTCTGTGGAATCATTCCCAGTTAGTGTCTAAGCACAATCCATGTCTCCTCTCCTAGGAGGAATTCAGGCTGCACTTCAAGAACATTTCTAAGATCATGGACTGTGTTGGCTGCTTCAAATGTCGCCTGTGGGGCAAGTTGCAGGTAAGCTTTGTCAGGAGCTGGGGACCTGTCTGGGAGCACCTCGTGTGATGGGACTTTGTTCCCAGAGGAGGTTCTCAGATACCCCTCAGCTCCTAGAAGCAGGTCAGGGCTCCTCGAGTCGTTTCCTCCTCCCATCAGTAGGAAGCAGGGTGCTGATTCCAGCTTGGTAGGCCTGTCAGCGGCTGAGAACTGAGTTCCCTGCTGGAGCTGCTCCCTGGAGAGGAGACAGGGCACAGAGCCTCTGGCAGAGGGGGCTCTGAGGCTGGGGCTTTGGTGAGACCTGCACTGGGCTTTTCACCCCCTCACAGAACACAAACAGTGCCCAGCTCTGTTCTGCTCCCTGCTCTGAGGTGTGGGGTGTGAGATCTAGGTCTTGCTCTGTCAAGATGTCAACAGGAACCCAGCTTCTCTCTGTCTTTGCAAGGATTCAGCCTGAGAGTCCAGCCCTGGGTGTCCCCTGCTGCTAACTGTCTTGTTTGTCACATGCAGACACAGGGCTTGGGCACAGCACTGAAGATCCTCTTTTCTGAAAACCTGATAGAGAGGATTCCTGAGAGCGGCCCCTCCTATGGCTTCCAGCTGACCAGACAAGAAATCGTTGCCTTATTCAATGCTTTTGGAAGGTCAGTTGGAGAACTTCCTCCTTTCCCACAGACTGCTGTGTTATATCCCATTGGGGTCACCACAGCCCCCTGCAGAGCTCCAGGCTGGGGGAAGAGGGGATGGAAACTGCCCAGTGGGAAAGGATCTGGGAGTGCTGGTGGCCAGCTGGCTGGAGATGAGCCAGTGTGTGCCCAGGTGGCCAAGAAGGCCACCAGCAGCCTGGCCTGGATCAAAAATAGTGTGTCCAGCAGGAGTAGGGCAGAGATCGTGCCCCTGGACTGGGCAGTAGGGAGGCCACAGCTCCACACTGTGGTCAGGTTTGGGCACCACAGGGTAAGAAAGACCTTGAGGGGCTGGAGTGAGTCCAGAGAAGGGCAACGAAGCTGGGGAGGGTCTGGGGAACATGGCTGGTGAGGAGTGGCCGAGGGTTGGTGGTTGGACTTGACGAGCTTGGAGGTCTTTTCCAATCTCCATGAGTTTGTGATTCCATGATTTAAGCTTAAGGAGTCTGTTCTCCTCAGCAGTGCTGGCCTTAAGCCCTGCTCTGATCAGGCTGCCTCAGGAGGAGGCTTTCAAAGGTCAGATGATGTTCACGTGGAGTGCAACAGTTGGAACATCTTAAACCAACTTCTTCATACTCTACGTTTCCTTAAGGGATTCAAGGAAGCATTTGTAGGAAGTCACAAAGTATCTGGGGACTTCTAACAAACTCTTGATTGTTCCCTGAGCACGTTTGTGCCCAGACAAGGGCTCCTGTTCTGTGCTCACTTTAGAGTTCTCCTTCAGGCTTCTCCCTTCCAGCCACTGGTCCCAAGATCTGTTTGTTTGCAGGGGTTGCATTTAACAGGACTGCATCCATCCGGCCCCTGTGGGGAGCTGGATGAGGAGTTTGGGGCAGAAGAGGAGGGCAAGGAGGCCTCCTTTGGGAGGGAGAGGAGCTTGCAAGACAGTTACATGTATTATACGTGTTAGTGGTTATATTTTGCTGCTCTGGGGTGGTGACAGAGCTGGAATTTCAGGCAGAAAGGTTTCTCAAAGGATTCTTCAGGTGACTTGGTACTGACACTCAGGCTCAGGGGTCCTGCCATGCCTCACTCCAAACCTGCTGGTGTCAGCTTTGGGGAGACCCCAGAAAGACCCTTCCCCAGGGATGCTGTGCTGCCACAAGCCAGGCTGCTGGTGGCCTTCTTGGCCACCTGGGCACACGCTGCCTCATCTCTGGCTCTGCACCAGCCCCCCAAGGCCTTTTCCACAGGGCAGTTTCCAGCTACTCTTCCCCAGCCTGGAGCACTGCCTGGGGTTGTTGTGATCCAGGGGCAGGTTGTAGAACAAACCTCCATCTTCTGGTGGTTGCTCACAAGTGATTTGGGGTGTCCAGACCCTCCTGACCCTGGGGTTTGCCCTGCCTGGGAAGGGCTGAGATCTTCTCAGAGTCCCATCAGGCATCCTCCCTGATGCTCCAGGATGGATTCAAAAATCCCTTTGGAAGAAGCAAACTCCTCTGGTGAGGAGACTCTGCAACCTGCCTGTGCAGCTGTTAATATTATGGTCTGTTTCCTGCCCTCTAGTTAATGGGTTTGTCTGATCACTCTGGAGCTCTCTGAAACGTCCTGTTCCACCATGCTGCTCGGAGCCTGCTTTAAAAAGAGCCTGTGAAATGAGGGAAGGGCCAATTCTAAATTCTCTCTTCCCAAGAGCTCCTTGAAGCTGCGCTTGGTACCGAGCCCCATCTCTTGAATTTTAAATAAGCATATGTTGCTCTGATCTTTCCCTTTTGCTTTCCTTCCACGCAGGGTTTCAACAAGCATCAGAGAACTGGAGAACTTCAGGAACATCTTGAGAAATAGGCGGTGAAGTTATTGGAGGGGGAAGAAGAGACTTCAAAGTTTTACTGCTGGGCTGTTCTGGGTTCTCTAAAATGGACAAATGCCGTCATCCCATCACACTCCCAACCACTACAGGGAGGAGGCCACTTGCTGGACCTCCTGTTCCTAGCTGAGTGTCTGTAACCTGCTGATGAGAAAGATTTTGTACAAGGGGGAAAAAAAAAGCTACTTTTACAGGGGGAAACAAAACAGTGAGGACTATATGTAAAGTTTATTTTATCTATGGGAAGATCACTCTGAATGAGTTCTTTAACTGGTGCTGAGCTATGCTGATGGATCAGACCCATCATTTTGCCTTCAGAAGGTGGCAGGAGATAGGGCAAGAGCCACGATGGTGAATAAATTTGGGGACAATTCCTTGTCTGTTCCATGATTCCAACCAGCCCCTCGCTCACAGTGCCTCTACACGTAAAATAAGCAGCCAGGGATGATCAGAGCCTCCTCTGCTTCAGAGCTGCTGCTGTACAAAGGTCCCTTCCTCCTCCTGGTGAAACCCCTGATGGTCCCTCCTCCTGATGGTCCCCTGGACTGACTGTGATCCCTTCCTGCTTGAAGAGCAGGGGAGAAGGACCACGAGGCAGCTCGCTGGAGGAGCCCTGCGACTTGCCCTCTGCCCAGCCTTGTGCCTCCATCTTGACTTGAAAGCTTGAGGAGCAAACCCAGGGGCCTGGTGAGGAGGAAGAGTGCTTTGTAAAAACAGGTGCTGGGCTTTGGTGTCATGCAGGAAGAAGGGGGAGACAGGAGCAGGCTGAGGCAAACATGGGGTGAGGATGGAGACCTGTTGACCGTGCTGCCCTTCCCAGCCTGTTGAAAGAAGGTTCTCCTGCCTCTGCTCTGCACAAGTGAGGCCACCTCTGGAGGGTTGTGGCCAGTTCTGGGCTCCCCAGGTCAAGAGAGACAAGGAACTACTGGAGAGAGGCCAGTGGGGGCTGTGAAGATGCTGAGGGGCGGGAGCATCTCTGTGCCCGGACAGGCTGAGAGCCCTGGAGCTGTTCAGCTGGAGACGAGAAGCCTCAGAGGGGCTCTGATAAGTGCTGAGCAAGAGCTAAAGGGCCCCTGGGGGGCAAGAGGCTGAGACCACACTCTGATTTTCAGTGGTGCCCAGTGACAGGACAAGGGGCAGTGGTCACCAACTGGAACCCAGGAGGTTCCATCTCAACAGGAAGAAAAACTTCTTTGGTGTGAGGGTGCAGAGCCTGGAGCAGCTGCCCAGAGAGGCTGTGGAGTCTCCTGCTCTGGAGAGATCCCAAACCCACCTGGACACCCTGCTGTGGGTGAGCTGCTGGAGCAGGGGGGTTGGATGAGGTGATCCCCAGAGATCCCTGCTGCCCCCCACGATGCTGTGATGCTTTGGCCTCTTCTGGGACCCGCTCCTGCGGCTGGTAGCTGGGCAAGGCTAAAAAGGGAAAGGACGTCCCTGCCACGGGGCCGGAGCTGCTCGGAGGAGCCGCTCGGGGGTGAGGGGAAGTCGATTCCAGCGCTCCAGGGACGAGCAGCCGGGAAGTGGGACAGGGAGCGGCTGGGGCGGAGCAGAGGCAGCCGGGGGCAGAGCCAGCCCCCGTTGCACCATCCGCCCTGGCAGCGGGGACAGGGGACAGGCTGGTGCCAGAGGCCACCCAGGTGCCTTCAGCCAGTGTTGCTTTTCACTCCAAAACAGGCGGCAGAGGCAGAAGGACGCGGCTCAGGAGCTTTGTGCCCAGCTCAAGGCCACGCAGATGAGCCTGTCCCCGGGGAGGCACCGCGCAGGGAGCCGGGGCTTCTGCTGCACCACGGCCCCGGCCCTGGGAGCCACTCCGAGGGAGGCAGGACGGGCTG